CACATGCAGAATGAATATTCACAGTAATATCCAAATTTTATATTAAAAATGCTCAGTAAATCCCAGAGTAATGTCACAAGAGTTGCTATGATGCCTATGTACAAAGGGGAAACTAAGGCACAGAAGTGCAGTGTTTTTCATTTAGCAGTAATTTAAAGTGTCATTGGACAATTTCAGAATTATCTGAACTGGCAAGGCTGGGTGAAACTGTACTGACAGAGGGAAAAAACCCCACCAGTTATACATTTTACCAACTTAGAACATCAAAATGGGATGCTATGAGTAGGAGCCTTCATTGTAGCAAATAATTTTTGATTTTCGTTAAGTGGCTGCTTGAGTAGAGACAGTGTTGTTTCCTTGAACTATGGTAATCAACACAAATTATTTAGGCTGCATATGACTGCTGAGGCACTGTAGTTTTGTCATCTGTTATTTACAGTTGCAGCTTCCTCCTTATCAGTAACAGGATAGAGCAGTGATAAGATGGTGTGAGATATGCTAAAGAATAAGAAGGGCCTACTGACATAAGCCTTGATGTTTACTCTGTGTGTTTACAGACTGGCTTAAAACAGAAATCTGTCTGTCTACAACATAACTTGAGAAAAATTGAGAATTAAGACCATAACTAAACTACAGTGTCTCATTAGAAATTTGATTTCTACATTTATAGGATATCCTCATAGAAATTAAGAGACAGCATTTCAGGAGTGGAGACCCTTCCGTCCCCATTGTTAAGACACAACCTTTGCAATGAAACACATCCATCCATTCACAAATTCAGGTCCACTTCTAAGTATGATTGTGTAGTACCTTGCCAGTTTAAAAGGAAATAAAGGAAGCCAAATGCTTATTCCTAGGAATATTTTGAAACATCGTGGTTTCTATGAAAGCAATAAATGTGTATTATATTCAGTTTGCCTGAATGATTTTCCTAAGAAGCAATTTCCTAAATATGTCACTGCAGCAAAAGAGCTGGAACAGCCAGGTCCTAATTTTCCATTTCTCAGAAGGGCTGTGTGTGTGTGTGTGTGTGTGTGCAACTGCTCACACAAAACCCACGCCCGTGCAGATGATATCTCTGATTTATAACTTGTTCATCTAAAACAGAGCCAACCAACATAGTGCTGCCCTCATCACTACATAGCATCTGCGGCCTAACTATAGCTCAGCCATCTGATCAGTCGGAGGTTTCCTGGAGAAGTTTGTAATTGACTGTTGGAGTTAGAGCAGGTTGATGGTTTATCTTCAGTGAGAGAGCAACCTAGAAACAAAACTTCCCAGGTTTCCAGAGACAGGAAGTCCCAGAGGTCTGGAACTCAGCAGTAGTGCCTCCATAGTATCTCCAGAGGAAACAGAAAGAACAATCTTCCTGCTGAGCAAATACAGACTGAGCGACTCTCCCCTTTGCTGTCTACAAGCTGCTGAGGCAGGCAAGGGCCTTGGCAGTTATTAATAACTCCATCTCCAGACATGCTGGAGAAGTGTGCAGTCACGCTTCTGAGCTGTCCTTAAGCAATTCCCATCTCCCTTTGGAAAGCTGTAATCTGTCAGAACATGCTGCTAAGAATACACTTGCAGAACATTATGCGTCAGGGAGGGGGTAGACCTCATCTACTATCTCCTAAAAATCTTTTTATAGGAGCTACCTAAAAATAGCCTGGAAGCCTAACAGGGTATGTGGTTCAGCTTTTAAAAAATAAAAATAAAAGTTCTGTGGTACCTTCACTTTCAACTTTTCAGAACTAGGATTTAAGTTACAAGATTTGTCACAACAGGGATGTTCTAAAAGCGCACACAGCCAGAATAAAAACCTTACAGAAAAAAGTATGTCATTCAAAACAAGCAGTACAGACTGTAGCTTCAAATTAAAGCTTTTGTTGATCTTTACAATCTCGTTAATGAATTAGCTTCTTAGCCATTAACAACTCACCAGCCTATAATATCCCACCATTAGGAGACTTGTTGGTCACATTCATCAGGAACATTGGAAACTCTACTTTTTCAAACGTGTGTCTGAGGAAAGCACACGTATCTGCAAGTGTGTGTCTGTATGCAGTCCTCAGGAAGTACAAATGGCACTGAAGAGTAAAAAATTGTCTTTATTTAAGCAAATAAATTGATGTAGGAAACAGTAATGTAGGAGCACCACAGAAGTCTTATATTGTAATCATGACTGGTATACTCAAGCATATCAAGTTTTAGTATTTTGTATTGGGAAACAATTTCTAAGGGGCTAGGGAGGTTTTTAAATTTTTTAAGAAGTTACAGCTCCATATAGAAAAGATTTTTTAAAAGTGTCTTGCACTGGAGAAAGAAACAGGTGAAATTTACAGTGGTCTTCAGTTGTGAAGGGAGTTAATTTCAAGTTTTCCAATGCACAGCAAAGAATTTTGGTCTCCTGCATGGGTGAACAATGTCCTTTTGAGAAAACAGCTAAGAATCAGAGTTGTCAACCACAGTCATCATCATCCCTGAGTTTAAGCAATCTTTTAAAGAACCTATGACAATTAAATCATAAGCATCTTCAAGAAAAGTCAGAGAAGCCTTAATTTTACTTAGTATTTCCTAGGAAGGAAATGAAGGCCTAATGTACTTGTCAGAGGTTCACACACAAACACTCACAAGTAGCACACATTGCATTTGCATACAGGTGTGTCACACTGCAGCTGACCAGAAGAAAGTGGAGAATCCTGAGCAGTTCCCACATTGTCACAAACTGCTCCTGAAAATACTGAAATAACTCTGTTTACCCCCACTATGCCTATGGACAAAATATTCCTGAAGCTCGCTCTTTGAATGAAAATTCATTCCTTTATTTTAATTTCCAGAGTGCATTTGTTTCAGACAGTTTATTGCCATTTTATTTTTTCAGCACTGGCCTTGAGTTTAAAATCCTCAAAGTGTTTTATTTATTATTTCCATCAGTAGAACCACTGTCTTGCTTGTATTGGATGTTTGCTTCATTGTATAGGATGCTGCACTCATCCTATACAGCACAAGGATTTCCTTGTGGGAATCATAAGCTAGTACACAGCAGAAAATAGATAGAACTCTGTTGCTTCTGTTTGGTGCATGAGCCCAGCTCAGATGCCTCTGTATCTGCACACAGAAACTTGCTGGAATTACAAAGTGAGTTTATCTCCACAAATCTGGAGGAGCTTTGTAGGGGAGCTGTGATTTCTCACCTTGTTTGCATCTCTCTAAGTAGTATGTAAAACATTTTGGCCCATCTGTGCTCCCTTTTTCTGTGGTGTAATGAATCTAATATTGCAGGGAGACCCAAAATGGGGGTCTTCCATCTTCCTTCATATAGAAAAATACTCAAGAAGAAACCTTTGTCAGCACTACTGGGAGTGATCAACTCTTGGCTACTGATTTCTGGCTATACTTCTGCTATACTGCTGGAAGTTATCAGTGTAACTACAACTCTGCAACTACAGAGCAAAGTTAAACATTGCTGAAATTGTGAGGCTTTCACTGATGACAACATGAAATTGCAGTACCACAGTCAATGACCAGAAAAGACACAATCCTTGGAAGCTTTCTGGAAGAGGTTGCTGCCTTTCAGGAGACAATAACCAAGAGTCTCCAAAAGGGTAATGCTGTGACAGGAATGGAGACACAGTCTGCTGATGTGACTTAGAGGCTTTGTGGATGTGTAAATGCCTAAAGTGCTGGAGCCATTCCAGATACTAGAGCAGCAGGTCAGACAATTGATTTTTGTCTTTTCTTCTTGTCTTTTATCAATGTTGTGTAAATATAACCTTGTCTTTGAAATGCTTTGTGACTCAGTCTATGAAAGAAGTACAGAAGGTAGCCTCAGAGCAGCAGTGTGCCTGAGACATTCAGGTGAGTTTTCTGTATGCCTTGAATATTGAAAACATGCAATTTCATCTACATAAAATCCACAGGTCTTCGCTGTGGAAGGTTGTTACAGGTACCGTGAAGATCTGGCTGGCTGAACAGAGGAAGCTGCTGCAGCCACTGTGTAATTTATCCTGAAAAGCAAGCAGGCTATGCTTGCCAGCTTGTGAAATAACCAATAATGTTAGAGATGTCCCTTCGAATTATGGGATTAGAGGGGGTTATTTTGCAGCTAATATAAGACTATGGCATGCTGGCACATGGCCAGGACCGGCAGGTGCACTGCTGCCTGTTGCTGGGGCGTTATGCCCCCTCCCTCAGCCAAACAGCTGCTGCCAATGCCGAGGTTGCCTCCGTGCCTCCACTGTGGGTTTGAGACTCTGCCAGCACAGGGACCACCAGAGTGAGCAGTCAGTGTTTGACCAAGGGTCCCATGAGGAGCGGCTGAGGGAGCTGGGGGTGTTTAGCCTGGAGCGGACTCAGGGGGGCCTCTTCATTCTCTACGACTACCTGAAAAGAGGTTGTAATAAGGTGGGGGTTGGACAACCCGTGACGGTGTTGTCCACAGCGGTTAATTATTGGCTTATTGCACACCAGGTAATGAATCTGGGTTCTTGGGGACAGCAGCACAAGAGGAAGCGGCCTCAGGCCAGGGGAGGTTCAGGTTGGACATCATGAGGAATTCCTCCACAGGAAGGACTGTTAAACACTGGAACAGGTTCCCCAGAGAGATGGTGGAGTGGCCATCGCTGGAGGTGTTCCAGAAACAACCGCACATGGCACTTATTGCCATGGCCTAGGTGTCAAGGTGTACAAAGATGGGTCAAAGATTGGACTGGATCATCTCAGAGATCTTTTCCAACCTAACTGATTCCGTGAATATGTGTTTGTGTGTCTGCTTGCTCCCCGGCCCGGCCGGGCACGGCCCAGCCTAGCCCTTCCCGTATCCATATTATTATGAAGTGGCTGAGGGCTCGTCGCCGGTGCTGGACGAGCGCTGAGGGCAGAGGGGAGGCGGGCGGTGCCGGTGCCCCCTCGCCGCCCGCACTACGAGTCCCGGCGTGCTGCGGGCCGAGCCGCCGCCGGAGCCGGAACGGGCGCGCGGCGCCGCTTCCGCCGGCGGGGCTGGTGCGGGGGAGCGCCGGGCAAGGCCGGAGAGGCTCTGCCTGCGTTCGGAGGGGCTGAACCCTGTGCGGCACGCTCAGGACTTTCATAGCGGGTACTTTTTTTCTTCCTTTGGCGGATTAGTGACTTGGTTTGTTTGTAGTGCTAAATATCTTCTTTAGTTCTAAGCCGCGGGTTTCGTGCTCCCGCGTGTTGCTGGAGTTTCCTGTGCGCTGTCTCGGGGATGGGACTGTTCCCATTCAAACCGGAGCGGTCCTCGCAGTGGGGCCAGGAACGGGTTGGGAACGGGCTGACCCCTGTCAGGTGCCTGACCCTGTCCTTGGTCCGAGATCCGCCGCATTCCTCGCACCCTCTTTGTTAATGAGCCTCTGAGGGCAAGTTATGAGCACCTCTGTAGGTGTTGCTGCTCCCCTAACTTCAGCAGCATTGGCACAGATAAAAAGAGTGCTGAATAATTATATGTCAAAATTGGAAAATGCACGTTTCTAGTGATGTTCTGAAGCCCAAAATATGAAGTACTTTTAAAAGGTTCCTGTTTCTTTTTTAATGTGTATGTGTTTAAACTATTTCCAGTTACATTTTTATAGATTTCATTATAAGTTCCTATTTAAAGCATTTTTTTTTCAGTAGACAGTGAAAACATAAGGTGTCCTTCTGCTTCTGTGAAATTTTGGGTAACATTTAAGGTATTCTAAATGGTGTTTGTGAGTTTTCAGGTGTATTGCTGAGATGGATGAAACTGACTAACTGCGTTTAGAGAGTTTTTTAACTACAGCAAGTGTAGTTTATAAGTATTTCTATTTTTGTACCGGCTGATGATATTTACATTGTTAACAAGCATATTTCATGAGTAATTTTAGGGAGTGTGCAGAAGGAAGGATGTGAGTGAGTACCAATAGAAAAGCCTGTGAGAAGGCACAGGCATGGAAGCTTTTTTTCAAAGTTGAACCTTCAAAGACTCCCTCTCAGTAAATAAAGTCTTGTGCTATTTTTGACTGTTAAGGAGACAGGTACCATTATCCTGAGTGATAAGGATTTCTAAACAATTGACGATGAAGAATTATGTTGCACAATTTTTTTCCTTAAGATATTCAAGAAATTTAACTCTTAGTCTTTTGTATCCTAAATAGTTACAAAACTGGTTTCTTTCAGAGGGTGTTCTGCAGAGAAAAAGTTCTTCGAGTTCCATCCGTCCAGGACTGGTTTCCTCTCTGCTGTCACCATGGCAATGTCACTTAGAACTGCATGGCCCAGCCTCCTTTGGATGCGTTCAGCAGCAACCTGTAAGCAGGTCCCTCTGCAGAGTAAGTAGTGATGAAATTGTGGAAGTCCTATATTAAAGTTTGTTCCTTGAGAACCGCTTTCCTGTAGGGTTTAAAGTAATAAAACGTGGAAGTGATTTTTCTATTTGAACAGAATCAAGTCTGTTAGTCTGTGCTCTATTCTAATAGTAATCTAAAGGATATCTTCATTTGTTTTTTTCTTTTTTTGTGCTTTTAAAACCTTCATGGTCTAAGTAGGATGCACCCCAAATTAATGATTAGCTTGTAAATACTACCCTCTTACCACTGATTATCATTGAAGATTTAAGTTGATTTTTTCAGACTTAGAAAAGTGGTGAGAAAAGGCTATAGTAAAATCTCACTACTTAACATTAAACAGAGAACAAGTAGAAACAGGCAGTACTGTTTCTTAGATTTTTGTCCATGTTTTAGATGTCAAGAGAAAGAAATAGGGACGACAGTAAAGGTGATAGAAAAGACAGTAATGGAGAAAATAGAATAGACATGTTACCTTTTAGAGGGAAGTGGGCAAGGAAGGGAAAGAAATTTTAGGAAGACGTACAAACTAGTTGCAGTTTACCAGATCTCAACTCCTTAATAGCTAAGAATAGTTTAATTAGAAGAACTGAAGAGTGGAAGTGCTAACAGTAATTCTGAATTTAAGAGTTTGCATCTAAAATACTTCTGAGAGGACAATAGCTACACAAAAGTTTCTTCTTGGCTTTTTCAGCCTTTGCAGTCTTGACACAATGAATGCTCTCTCCCTGTGCTAGGAGCAGCCATGAAGAATCCTATTTGTATTAAAAGATGGTCTAAATAAAATAATGTCAGATAAAGTTGAAACCTTTTTATGACTTAACAGAAAGCTCAGAACATGTGAAGACTTGTTTCTTGTGATCATAATTGTATTCTAAAAGCATAGTTGTTGAATAAAGCTTTACAGGACACAGAAACTTCCATGTGGATTTGTCTCAGGTTCTGGCAATTAGGAAAGGGGTTCTCAGTGGAAGTCAACTCCAGGCACTTCCCAGGCCCACCTTAGGCCTGGATATCAGCTTTGTTGTAGAAGGCAATGCCTACAGGATGATTCCTGTGTGAGGGGCTATTGAACACCTTAGGTTAGTTGTGTTTGGACTCTGTGATCTTTAAAGTCTTTTCCAACCTAAATTATTCTATGATTCTATTAAAAAATGAGAATCAAACCATGGGGAAGGGACTTTGAGTGGTCTGTGATCCAAGCTCCTGCTCAAAGCAGGGTCAGCTCTGCAGTCATATTGGGTTGCTCAGGGCTTGCTGGGTCTTTGAAATCTCCAAGGACAGAGAACTCACAAACCTGCCTGAGTCCCATCCCCTTGACTTGCTGTCCTCATGAAGAAAACATTTCTCTACATATCCAGTCAGAGGCCCTCCTTCTGATTTTTGTAATAAATATTGTTATGAATGAAATTATGACCTTCCCTCTAAGTCCTAAGGTTCTTTACATATATAAAGGATATTTCCTAATGGTGAATTCTATAGGTATTTTGTTCATATAGTGATTTTACTCAGGAAAACAATACAACTAGGAAGGTAAGTATAGGTCATAGCTGCCTGCATACTGCTTTTTTTTTTGATTGCACTGCTAGAAAGCCGTGTACTAAAATGAACTTCTATTTAGACAGTATTTGGGTTATGTTAATCTAAAACTGAATTATGATTATAATCCCTGATTAAGACTTGAAATAATGAAAATTGAAAATATAAACTTTCTTTATTGGGTACAGCTCTGCTTGTTTCTGCATCAGAGTTCTTTATTTTTATTGCAGATGGAGCTGTGTATCATGCTTGCCATAAATCTACATACTCAGTTCTCCCTGAAGACTATAATTGGTATGTAAACATGCTTTGCTCTGTGGCCTTTTCATGTAATGTTTATTCCAGGGCTGCTTTCTGTCCTAAAGTCATCATATAATAGTATCAAACACATCTATTGCCAATATTGGATATATGTAATAATTTCAGCTAAAGTACTGTCTCTGATAGTAATGATTGTGAAGTTAATGTTTCAATGTAATGAAAAGTCATGCAGGACTCATTCTAAACATGTTGATGACTCCCAGTACCCCTGCAGTTTTGTTTGTGGAAGAGCAAAATTAGCTTAGAGTAGTAATTTCCATTGATGTTTGTTGTTAAGACAAGGTCCAGGTATTTTTGTGCTGCTGCATGGGGAATCTGTGTAGAAATGGGAAAAGATGGTACAAATATAGTGAGAAACACTGAGTTCATGTCACCACAGTTTTAGGAAGCTAAATGTCTCATGGGAAGGGGAAGGAAGGTGAGAAAAGTTATATTCTCACAATGACAGTCTAAGTAGGACTTCTTGTTCAACATTTTTTACATAATAGAAAAGTTAGAACCCCAAACAGAGTTTGTTTCCTGTTATTTCATTACAGATGCCATACATCTTATAAAGACATGCTGTCCTAGAGATCATTATCCCAATCTGTTTAGAGTTTTATATGCAACTATTTAAGTGTTTAAGATTTTTTTTTCCAATTCATATTTCCAGCTATTATAATAATTTATTTTAGCCCTTTTTTTCCTCTCCATCAAAAAAGAAAAAGGAAGACGACTGAGGAAACAAAAACTTGGAGGTTTGGATCAAATGTTTATGACCCTTATTTTATAGAAATTATGAAAGATTGATAAATGCAGGGTGAAATCCAGTTTTCTTTGGGACATGGGCTGCTCAGTTGTTCAGTACTTCTGGAAGTTATGAGTTTTTTTTATTTTTATAGCAAAGTGGAACTTGCAGTGACATCCGATTCGAAGACAATTGTCTGCTACCACCCTTCGCTTGAGATTCCATACGAGCATACAAAAGTATGTCCAAGTATATTTCTTACTCTTGTAAAGGCATTTAGTGGTTCATAGGTTTGAGTCTTTAGAGCATCTTTTTTAATTTGAAATGACTTCAGCACATCTGTGAAGTAAATGACTGATGAATATAGCTGCTGCCACAAGGAGGAGTTTACTCTTAGTTGAATTCAGGGAAGGTTGCACAGTGAGAAAAGTTCAGGTATCACAGCATACATAAGCTCTAGTTGAATTAAAGGCACTAAAACACTTGTGCACTACAGAGAAAATAGTGTCTGTCTATGTGGGTACTACTCAGAGAGGATGATTGGAATGCAGGTTATGGCTCACATGTCCTCCTGCACAAGAGAAAACAAAGAAATACTGCTGCTACTGTTTTCAACTCAAACTTTAGGTTCCATTCAGCATTGAGTTCATAAAAACCACAAAGAACTTTAAATATTGATTTTTATGTATCAGTAGTACTTTCAATGTGATCTTTACATTGATGAAAATAAATCTAGTGTTGTGATTTAAAACCTAGTTAAATTTTTCTAGTGTACACCTTTTTTTGAGTTTCCAGTTCTCATGTGCTAGTAAAATACTGCAGCTGGCAGTAGGAAGGTGGGGACAATAAACAGCCAGTGAAATTGCAGGTATTTTTCTGGTTTTTTTTTGGTTTCAGCTGTTAGATAGCATTACAGATTACTCTTAGGAGCTTGGCTTTTTTACTTTCTCAATTAAATAAAACAAGGAGAAACAGGACATACATATACATTACTGTTTTGCTAGCCCATACCACGGCCAGATCCAGTGAATAATAAAGAAGAAAACCTTGATCAAGTTTTAAAATCCAGATTGAATGAAAAAGAGCTAAAGAACAGTAGAGGTCCTACAATTGAAGAGCTCAGCAAAATGTTTTACACAACAAAACATCGCTGGTATCCTGTGGGACAGTAAGTATTTTCAGTTTGTCTGTTCCTTTTGGAAGTAAAGGGAAATACAGGAATAATTTAATGACCAGATTCAACCTACAATGAGTAATGTCAGACAAGATACCTCTAGCAATTGGGCTACTATATAAAATTTTCAATGCAGTGTTGGGTAAATGGAAGACTGTATTTAATAAGGGTTTTTTTAAATACTGGTCCTTTGATAGACTTTGCCACTTTTTCCGGTAAAATATGTGACAGTGTAGAAATTTCTCATACATCCTGTTAGCTACTGCTTTGAGTCATTTACTAAGTTCCATAACAGAATCTAGTTTGTAAAATACCCTCAATGGACATAACCAAATACAGCTTGGAAACATACATTGCCTATTCGTTAGCAACCTCAATGGGATGATTCTCAGACTTAAGAGTAGTAGAGGTTTTTTATTTGGAATGGTGAAAAGTGCTATTTGGTGTGCCTTGTATTCAGAAATGGAGGAGGAGGAGGAGAGGTATACATATACATGACTCAGCTTAAAGAGGAACTCTGGGCATTACTAATGTCAACAAGCAGCATTCTGGTGTGTGTTACACCCTTCCACTCCATGGTACGCCATCTTTCAATAGCTGCTAATTTTGTAGCTATGGAGACATAATACAGGCAATTTTTTTTTTCTATCCGCAGAAAACTTTTTAATTAATGTGCTTTGGGAGTAGATATAATGAATGGAAAGATAGGACTTTTATGACCAAAGGGTAGCTGTCACTTCGATGAAGATCAGACAGGATCTGCCTTGTTCAGCATGCATAATTATGAGGAAAGTGTGGCTCATTATTTGTTCAGAATAATTTGTTTTTTAGTTTTTCTGCAAAATATTACACTATTTAACATACAGTCTGGCACAGCTCCTTTGAACATCTTTGTTCTATAGCAATCATTTTAGCCAAAGGCAAGGCTGACCATGTAATAAAATTAACTTCACACAAAGAATAAAGAATAAACAGCAGCCTTTGTGCCTATTCAGCTGTAGAACTGATTGGATTATTGCGTGCTTGTAGCAGATGTAGCAATAGAAATGAGTGGCATTATGTAACTCCACAAACAACAGAGATGACATCTAATGAGTGGTGATGGATTGTGCTCATGTATCTTGTATTTCACTTCCTTGTGTAACCTCAGATCACTCACTGGGGGCAGAAATACCACAAAAATAAAGGCTGTCCACAGCTTGCACTCACTGCAATGCTTTTTTTCTTTTAGGTATCATAGAAGACGCAAGAATCCTAATCCTCCCAAAGACCGATAACCGAGACAACTTCTTGTTCATCAGGACTTTGCTGTTAATTTTGATTGGAAATAAAAGTTACAGAAGGTGACATGTTTGGCTGTAACAGAACATGCTTAACTTGATTTGACTGTTATTTTCTACTAAAAGCAGCAAAATGGCACTGACAAAACAGGGAGTCAGTGAAGGCAGTTGTGCATTCCTGGTCAGCAAATAGACTAGTCTTAGATCAGGATGTAACAGGGATGTAGTGCTCTGATTAAATTCAAGAGGTCAGAGGCTTGTCATTGGTCAAGTGAAGTCAAAATGGGAAGTCTAGAAATGGATGTGTTAGGGTTTGGTGGTTTTGAGTGGGATAAGTATTTTTTTTTCTTTTAGGAATCCAGTAAGGTGAGCTTGACTATTGAAGTGTTAATGGTATAGTTTCTATTAAAAATATTATATGAGGTATTTGTGAAAACAAATAGTTTTTCTTCTTCTGTTACACTTGTGAGATACCTGGCTCCATGTTCAATTCTACATCACCGAAGTGATTGATTGTAGTTAAGCCTGTTGTTGTGTATGGAAAACTGGCCAACTTGGTTAATTTTTAGCATCCAAGTCACAGTAACTTGCTCTTCTAAATAATCCAGTATTCTCAGATATCTAAGAACTTCTGTGTGCATTTGTGGTTCATGGGGGGGTTTTTGCCTGTTTAATTCCACCCCAACTACCACTCAGTGAGGATGCTGTGTTCATACATAAGCTGGAATAGCTGTATCACAGTAGGAGTTTGGTCTGATTCTACTTCATTGCTTTATCATTTTGTAGTGCTTAAATGTTCTTCCTCTTGTAATATTCTATGTCATGTAGCATTTTTCTCCTTCAGGAAAAGGGAAAAAACCTTTGTTCCAGTCTACAGTTTTAGGCATCAGCCCTCTAATAGAAAGATAGATCTAATAGATCTATGCTGCTGCAGTGATCCCAGTGACTTCATAAAGCCTTCTTAGTAGATCCTTCTAAATAATGAGAAAATAATTATCTCATGTACATCGTATATTTTTATTGCATTTCCCTTCCAAAGCAATTTGGAGAACCAAGGAAGGGGTTTGTTTCTTCTGTTAGTCTAGTGTCATTTTGCCAGCATGCATTTTCTACAGATTTTGCTAGAAGTCAAGTACCACTCACTCATCTTCTCAGTTGAGATGTAGAGAAACTACATCTCAACTGTTAGTTAGTTTCTAAAGATACTACTGAATAACCTTTTTCCCTTGAACATCCTTTATGTGTGAAAAAAGCAATGTAGGATGTGTGTAAAAAGGCTGCCTTTAAACACTTGTGGGAATTTATACAGAAAACTAGTGCCAGTGCATTTTTAACTCCAAAGCTGGGCAGCTGATAATGGTTTATCATGGGAGAGCATGAAATCCTTTTGCTCCTTCACTCTGTTGTGCTTATAAGATATCAGAGGCTGTGCTCCAGCCAACATTAGCCAAGTGATTTTGGCTTCTTATTAATGGTTTGTTGCTCACATAATAAGTCTGCTATTGTGAAGTAATGTCTGTGGGGTCTCTGTGAAGGATGGCTGTTTAACTCTTTAAGTTCAATTGCATGAACATAATAGTGGCTTTTTCTGCCTGGAATATAACTTTTTGAATAGATTGTAGCAATTTGTAATGCAACACATTTTGGTATTTCATCAGTTTGTGGTGCCTGGTGAGGACTCTGGTGTATAAGTGAGCTTACTTGCATCTCATGCAGTGTTTTATGTTCCAGTGCATAAAATTGAGTTCCTTTTATTTTTGGAAAGCTGAGACCTAATTTGTCACCGTTTGACTTCAGTGTAAGAAGAGATATCCTCGGACTAATTTAAACTTAAAATTATTTTCCCCCATTCTTTTTCCCATATTTTTGCTTACTGCTGCCTAATGCTGCTAAGAAACTTTGCTCTACAGAGAAACCTTTACAGTCATAACCTTCTGCTATGACATTTGTCTGTTCTTGCCTGTCAAACCCTGTTTGTGATCAAACATCCACAATCACTCTAGAAATACTGGCTTTTACATTGTTTCCCAAACACTTTTGGATGCTTTTCAGGCATTTTGAGAGCTACAAATCTATGATGTGCTTGGCTGCTATCTTTAAAGTACTTCCTCTTCTGACCAGTGGCTGAAAATTATTTTCTCATATGTCTATAACACATGTTCACTACATGTAGCATGTGCCCTTTTGTTACTAATTCGTAACATTGGTGTTTTAAAATCTTTCCCTGCATTGTGATGCTGCTTTCAGTCTTACTGTTTTCTTCTACTAAATCTTTTTCCTGGGTTACCCGAGGCATGACACAATTAAAATACTACTCTCACAGTAATCTGAAGCTCTCTTCTTGGTTTTCTAGGTCTCAAATAACTGGCTTTGTTTCTCTTCACTTTAAAACTTAGAATTCAGAATTCATCCACTTGATTATTGTTCCACTTCTATGCAAAAAAAAAATTTTTGAAAGTTAGTTTGGGATTTCTGTTTTCTGTTGCCCTTGTTCTTTGTAATTAAAAACTTCAGTTGCGTAAAATTCGCAATGTTAAGTCTGTTCTGGCACTTTGTATCCCGGTTTGGGCACTTAGCCATTTGTTTTGTATCTAGTAGCTATTGAGTTCCACAGCATCTTAGGCTCCTTGCTGTGGATAGTAGACAGCTGGGTACATCTTACTGAGGGATTTTTGGTTTCCAAATGTCTCACTAAAAGTCTCCTCAGGCCTTGCTTGGCCTGTATGCCATTAGAAAACTCTGTTTCAGTCATGTATCAAAAATTTTGCCCTTAATTCACAGAATCACAGAATTGTTAGGTTTGGAAGGGGCTTCTGGAGATCATATAGTCCAACATGTCTGCCAAGGCAAGGTCACCTGCAGTGGGTGACAGGAACACATCCAGGTGCATTTGGAATGTCTGCAGAGGAGAAAACTCCACAACCTCCTTGAGCAGCCTGTTCCTGTGCTCCCAAACAGAAATTCGGACCATTTAAATCACAGTTCAATTAATCTCGGTGCCTTAGCAAAAAGAATTCTTTCCTCTCCTCTAATTATCCCCAGATTAAAACAGAACTGATGCTTTTAAGAGGCTTTTTCCCTTCGGTGTGTGCCGCGGGAGCTGCCGTGCAGGCTGCGTGCGGCACCACCGGGAGGCAGCACCGCCCAAGGCTGGAGCGGGGCCGTGATCAGGACCGGCTCTGCGGGCAGCTTGAGCCCCGAGAGGCGGCCGTGGGCTGCTCCCTTCGTGACACTCGGGAGTACGGCATCAGAAGCGGCTCCCTAGCACCGCCCAAAGGACTTGCAATTAAAGGGTTAAAGGTTTTTTGCCTGTTTAACTTTTGTAGGGTGTCTCAGAGACAAAAAAAAGCTCCACCATCCCAGTCTGAGGAAAAAATGAGTCGATAGTGGAGCAGTAACGTGACCCATGTGACAAATGTCATGACTTTGTTTCACTTCCCCAAGATTGCACTGAAGGCAGCAGTTACCCTCCTGCCCATCTGCCCACCCATCCTGCCATCCCTCCCCCCCATCCAGCTATTAAGTTCTGTAGGAAACTTCTCTCTTTCTGCTGTTATAATAGGTCTGAACTTCATCTGTCATGTCCAAATTCTGCTGTACCACAATAAATCCTTGTGGCAGGTCATTATAAGTCACAGTACCGACTGCTTGTCAAAGCCAGAGCTGCATTTCTCAGTTTCTCCAGTCTATAAATTTTAGCAGCATGTAATTTCTCACATGCTCATTCCATCCTCAAAGCCAATATGAAGTTATAAAATGGAGAGATAAAATAGATGTAGGCTGCATTCCTCATCGGTAATAGATGATGTATATTTTATTTTAATGCTACAATATAACAAAATTGACCTAGAGCAAACCCACTAGTCACCAGTATAAAGGAACAAATTGTGTACCTATGATACCTAAAATTTGGGATTATCTCCAAGATTGACACAGATACTAATTAGACATCTAAACCTGAGTTAATCTTCAAAGGCTCCCCTTATGGTCAGTCAGCACAGAAAAAGTACATGCAACAGTCAGTTGATCTTATTTTAACATTTTATTGTCTAGAATATGTCACACAATTGTCCTCTGAAGATGCATTTTCCTTTTCTGTGAAGGGAAGATGAAGATGATATTTTTTTATCTATATTGGGGTCTTTCTCTTTTTTTTTTTAATGTAGGAGCACAACTATGCAAAATACTCTTAAAATTCAGATAAAACCATTTTTGATGTTTCTGCTAGCCTTCAGTAGTATGTAGTCTGTATATAGGAGCTCTCAGTTTTCTATATAGAGTGATTCACACACATTTAATTTGTAAATGTACACTGTGTATGAGATTTTAATCTCACTTTGTATTTAATCAACCCTGTAATGCTAAAAGTAATAAGCTGTTTGGAGAAATAACATAGTTACTTATTTATATATCTTTCTGGTACCTCTTATGAAATGAGCCTATTATTTCAACTGTTATCTTTTGGTACTTCTACAAAAGCAAACATGATAAATTGTGATTTACTGGGAAATTTGCACGGAATTAACCTGAAACTTTAAATACAATTGATACAGAATGTTAGTTCCACTGTGTATAGCTACAGCTGTTGGAACACTGCAGATCAGACAGTGGGAGGTGTGTGGAAGCTGCATGAACTAATCAGCATGTTTGGTCAGCAATTTTGCATCTCCAGGCTTCTGGAGAAGTAGAAGTTTATGGCCTGGCATGCCACTTTATTAAAGGTCATGATCTAGGTGTATGTATCACACAGTTTTTCATTGCATGGAGACAACACAAGATGTTGGCACAGCCAATAGAACTAAGAAGCTTTGCCAACTGGTCTTTATCAAACATAAATACAGAAAAAGGTTGTGCTTATATTCAGCTTTACTGCTTGTCAAGATGAAAAACAGTGTCAGGTCAGAGGCAGTTTACCTTTTAAATAAGACCAGTTTTGACTGCTACCAAAGTTTGATTACTCAGCAAAAGGATCCCCCTACCAGCAAAATGTGAGATGATTAAAAAAATTCTGCAAGAACTGTTTTTTAGCATCTCTTCTGCTAAAACTAATAAAATGTTGGCCATGAGAGTTACAGAGAAAAATTCAAAGAACAGTGAAAAGTAATTGCACTAAGCCTTACCATGTTGAATAAAAATTAACCTAAGTAAAAGATTAAACTATTGAAGCATGACCCTCCTGTATAAACATGTATTTCCTACTCACTAATGGTAACAAAACAGAGCTTAATAGTTTCATCCAAAGATTAGTGTTTCTTAAACAATCCTAGTCATTAGCACCAGGTTTTTTAAACACTGCTGAGGTTTCTTGTCTTAAACACTGCTAGTTTCTCATTCAAATGTGTTTGATTTGTTTAAACAAATAATATGCTAAGTACTGCTTTTCTGAAGCCAGCGTCTGTAGGAGTTACACTGCATCAGAGCTGTGCTGCAGGAGTGGTCTTCTTATTTGCTTTAGTTAAGACAAAGTGATGATTTTTATTGAATAATAAAAAAATGCTAGGAAAAAAAAATTTCCTTGACCCTTAATTAGTTAACATTTGTTTGGATGTTATAAGTAACATAAGGCTTCATATCCTTTTAAAAATTTATTTTGTAATTTTTAATACTGACTGGCTTCAGTATAGGTTCATTTGTTATTTTCCAAGAATATGTGTTTACAGAATTCCCTTTCCCCCATGCCATTTTTCCTACAGTTAAAACCCTGGCATTAGTGATGGAGTAACAGTGATGGCAAGTTCCACAAAATTTAGAACTAGATTAAGAAAAAAAGGATTTGCTATCCAGAGTAGAAGCACAGAGGAAATAAAATTCAGGGAAAATTCCTCGTAAGAAGAGGTCAGAAAAATGACAGAGAAATTGCCTTTCTAGAGTATATATTTGTATTTTAATACTGAAGGAAACATGATCTAGTTTTGGCTGCATGGTGTTATAACTCACTGGCTTTATATGGCCTTATTTGTTTGAGAAAGATTTGAAGTAAGACTGGTAAGGCTGAAAGGTGACACCATGGGCTGTGAAGAGGAGAGCAGCAGTGGGTAGTACCTTCACAGTGCCTAGCCAGGCCTTGTCCAGTCCGGGGACAAAAGCTTGAATTGTTAGAACTGGGTGAGTGTTCTGTTTCAGTACGACCAAGATTCTAACTCACGGCTTTGTGGAAATGATGCAGGAAAAGCCGTGTGTTTCTTTAGCAGTGCTGCATTTATTCTGCAGTGAAAGTACCTGTGTAATTCTGGCAGGTGAAACCAGGGCTCTGGGCTTTACCACACCGAGGTGGTGCCAGCAGCAGGGACACCTTCAGGATCCCTCTGGGCACGTTGTTATGTGGCAGTCAGGGAGCAAAGCTCAGGCCCCTGCTGCTGCTGCTGCTCCCACAGCTCCAGAAGCCCTCCTGAAAGCAATGACTTCCCACTGCTGCAGGGACAGCACCAAGCACTGCTCCCAAGGTCTCATCCTGTTTGACTTCACAGGATGTGCTCTTCTAAGCCACCCAGGCTGGCTGTGCCCTCAAAGCTTACTGCATCCCAGAAGGTGCAGCACGTACCCTCCCTCTGCTGCCAGGAGAGCACCCTTCTCACGGGCTGAGGGACAGTTTCACACCATTGCACAAACTTCAAACTGAAAGGCAACACAGAAAAATCACAAGAAGGAGTCCAAGGAGCACTGTGGGATGTGAATACAGGAGTCCGCTCTAGAGGGGACTAGCACAGCTAGTGTGAATATAAGCCATCTATATTCCTCTTATCTCTCAGTATAAGCCCTTATTGACATCAGGGACATTTTTTTTTAATTTAGAAAGACAAGCTTGCTCTCTGAAATCAGGTAGTGTAAACCCACAGCATTTTTAGAGACTACCTGATCTTAGATTACCTTTGTTCAGAGTACCAAGTCTGAATAAGTCTGGCACAGGCTTATACATACAGCAACTCACACATGTAATTAGTATTTTCAAAACAATTTCAGTCACCAGTCCAGAGTCTCCCATTCAGAGATGCCCCAGTTGAGACTCCTGTAAAAATAAAAGGATTTTTCTTCTGAATAAACAATTATGGAGAGAAGAAAGTGCATTTCTGCATTACCAAACAAAATCTGCATTTAGGAGTAAGCATCTTCTTACACATTCAACCTTGGAGTAAATGAACCATACCAAAGGTCACTAAATGTCATTGTTCTGTAATTTTCAGTCTTCAGAGGATCAAAGAAATCTGAAGAAATGGTTCAAGTTGAGACACTTGGCAAAATAATGAGGTGAAAACTCAGAAGTTTTCTGGAGGAAAAAACCCACAGTAATTGGACATAATTCTTAGAATCTTAATTTAGGCATGTCAACAAAAGAAAATTGTATAAAAATCAAAGAGCTGTTTTTCAATTATTCTCAGGGCATAAGGGGTTTGTTTATCCAAAGATCTGTGACACTAGCAAATGAGCTGGTCCCTTTAAATACCTTGCCAGGTGTTGTTTTTGTTTCTTTTCCCCGTTCAGCTGTACTTGTATGATAAATTAATTTTTTCTAGAAATACACTACCATTTCAGCACAGATTTTTTTAACCATTAATCTCCTTACCTGGCATATTTTGCCCTGTTAGAGCAGCCCAAGGAAGTGATCTTAAAATGCCCAAGGAGATTAAAAGATTCAGTCAATTGCTGAAGTGTAACTCAGAAGCATAACTGATCAGTCATTTGAAGAATTTCATTGTTGTTGCTGTGCCTTTTTGATCAGCCAGTCCAAAGGGATTTCATTAACATCTCGCTAGTACCTCTGACTAAGAAGAAATTTTGAATAGATTATGAAAGCCTCTAGAAATAAGCTATTTTTAAGTGCTAAGCATATAAATGCAAATTGAACAGAAACAGCTGTTATTTACATTCTGTGGACACATGATTTCACTCCCTGATGGATAGGGGAAGAAAAAAAGCCACTGAAAGATTGAAATGCCCTTAAAGAAATTGGGAAAATGGGGATCTAATAAAAATACATGTAATGAACCACATTGTCGGGTAGTATGAATTGGTAAAGCTTTCCAGGTTTGCCACCATTTCTTTCTTGGAGAAGAAATACAAGAGAATACCTTCTTGGGGGGAGGGGTTGAAGGAATGAATATGTTGAAACAAAGGCATATGAACAAATTCCTGTTTCAGGCTTTTACACAATGGCTAGCTGATAACCTGGCATTTTCAAAAACAGTCTCCCAGAACAAAGCCCCCATTCTCAATAAGATTTTGCTATGGACTTACGTTAGTTTGAGATTATGTTCTGAAAAAATTATAAAAGCTCCTGAAAAATGTGAGCAGCATGTTCTAGACCAGTGTGCCTGAAAGTAGAGGACTGTGCTGGAGAGCAAAGAAAGCACAGGGTGAAATTTTCACCCTTCATGAAATCAGGCTTTTTACTGGCCTGGCAGAGGCTCTCCTGCATGTCCTCCATTTACCTGGAGCAAGTCCCTGCTGTCACAGGTTCCACTGGAAAGCTCATGCTCCCTCCTGCCAGGCCTGCTTCTATTTGTAACATCACCAGCAAATACCTAGAGTAGAAAGAAATAAAACTCTCCTCAGGAAAGGTAAGGCTTGTTTAAAAATGTACACAAAATATGGCTGCTAATTTGGCCCAAACCCACTCATTTCAAATCAGTGATAGGAAGCTGGGACAGGGAATTAAAGGTGGGATTGTTTTGCTGGCTTTTCCTTGTAGAAGGAAAAGGACTTGACATACCCAACACAGCTAAAGCCCAAGCACAACAGAGCCACTTGATTCTTAAGAGCCTGGGGAGTGATCTCCTCTAAGATTAGTTCTGTTTGACTTAGGATTGCTTTGTGCCTGCCAGCACACAAAACCTCTCATAACACAGGCAAAGGTAGGACAGAAATTTCATTCTTGTTCCATTTTAGGTACACTCTTACCTGCTGTTCTGTGTTATGCAAAAGACATGTCCAATGGCCAAATGCATCCTTTCCTTCCTCCCCAGAACAAAGGCTGATCTACAGCAGCAGGTTGTGCAGCTTCCTCCTGTCTGGCATCATGTGGCTTGAAATGCTAGGGAAAAATTCTGCTGTGCCTCAGGCATCTTTCCAGATCACATTTATTCACAGAGGGATAATTTATCAGAGAAATGAGCTCTGAAGAGACTACTAAAATTAGTGTTAAATTTTGAAATGTAGGGCAATGGCACCGAAAGTCAGAAAATATGTCTAGCCCAAACTCACACTTTATAAAATGCTTTGCATATTTTGTAATAATTATGGGTATTATTTCCCCTTCTCTGTTCATTTATAAGGACAGAGAGAATAACAAACTTAAGCAAATCTGAATTTGGTTACACAGAGCCATTTGTTAATTCTGGTATATGGCAGTAGAGGGCATCTAAGGACTTCAAGTCACATATGGTAAGGGATTAAAATCAGATGGCTGAAGGAGTTATTACTCTCCCCCCAAGCCATTCACCCCATCTCAGGACAGAATTGCCACCTCAAGACCAAACAGCTCACGAGGCTGCTCCGGATGGATGGCAGTTTTGAAGCCACACTGAAACTGGAGCTGTTCTTAAAACACCAGTCTGAAAGCTGAAGTTGTTAAGGAGGAGATGCAATTTCTCTTCCCTGCTGCAGGCAGAGCTCTGTCAGAGCCACAGGATGGTTTTGGGTACAGTACAGTGGGAGATACTCCTTCAAGGAGACTGTCCAATTTTATCTACTACTGTTTGAGCTTTAATTTCCACATACCTGGAAAAACTGCTTACAGGAGGAGCAAGAAATTCTGGGAATGGACAGGCTGTGCCAAGAAAAGGCGAGCTGTGGACCAATGCTCTTTCCTGAACCAGAAAGAGTAGCCCTATGTCTGTTTCCTGTCCTGAGCCTTAAAACTGACAGCCTGTCTGGCCAGTGTTTCATCAGGCTGCGTCCTCCCCGTACGCCAGTCAGATACAGGACGAGGCGTGGAGCCATCCTGACAAAAAGCAAGCACTAATCCTGACAAACACAGAGAAGGTAGTTGGCAGCTAGCACTGTTTTCTTGTCATCTGTCCAGGTTTGTATGACATTCCACATGCAGCCTCTATACTGAAGCAGGGAAAGCAGCCATACCTATCTTGAGCCAAAAGAAGCCAACACGTCAGAGGCAGGTTAAGTTCATTACCTGACACTAACACTTCATGCACTAATCTGAAAAATGTATTTGAACCCAGCAGCATATTCACATACAACAGGCAACCTATTTTCAATTAACTGGAAGAAGTTTAAGGTTATATAAATACATTAGTAAACGTTGATTATCCTGTTATTCAAACTCCTAAGGACAGCAACACGTCAGGCCTTATGCTGAAGTCTATTATAGCCTTAGCCTGAAATTTAAAAGTGGCTCATGCCCAAAAAAAGGTTCTACAACTCATTTAATGATTCACAGTACTCCTAAAATGATATTCATCTGTCTGCTCTCCATGGCAGCACTTTCAATCATAAACACTTAATTGTAGGAATTCATCCTCAAGGCCAAATAGCTCTGGGTGAATTAAACTATCCTTAATATAAGAACTAGAGCAGTGATTTAAAATTAATCTTTTTCTGATGGGAGGCCATTTATTCAGAGACACATAACCCAGTTTCTACTTCACTTTTCACTCAAAAATCTCCCCTTTAGAGATAGGCACTGCATCACCTGTTTTAGTTTTCCTTATTAGTTTCAAAATTGACTTTCTGCCAACAAAGGAACTTTATTACTTATGGATTGGCAAAGCATAGGAGAGCTGCTTTCATGCTGTCTGTCAGGAAAACTTTTTTCACAGACATTACTTGCTTTCTTTTACTTTGAGGCGTAGGACTTGCAACTGGCAGAAAAACATCTCAAGCCTCCTCAAGCATAAAAGGCTTGTTTTTTCTGGCAGCATCTAGGACAAGAATGCAAGATTTCACAGTGCTTTCAGCTGTGCTATCTCTAGGATTTTTCTAAAAAAAAAAACCAAACCCAAGAGTGTATGTTTCCCTAAAAACCCAAAACTTCAAGGAGCATGGTTCTGAACATGTGTGTGCATAGGTGTAGTGCACATATATACCTACATGCTCTTTCTCAGCCAAAAAAACAAGGTAAATAAATATTACAGTCACAGCATTTTATGCTATAATCTGAATATTAAAATCCATATAAAATATTCTCCTTGTAGTTGTTTGAAGACTGTACCAAAATTGGTCCTTTCCAGCAGTCCTTTTTTCTACCTTGTTCGTGAGAAGGAAGCATGAATGGGAAGAAAATGCTACCAAAGCATGTATATTTACAACTTATTCTCCAATAACTTTCAGCAATATTTGGTTACTTTTAGTCAGAGTGAAACTCGATAATTCATAAAATAACACAGTGATAGACCAGAATTCTGCTATTTATAAGGAAGCCTAGCATAGCATAAAGTAAAAACTGCTGTGTAAATTCTCCTTGTTTTTTTATACTTAGTACCCTGTGTCACCACATTCTACTTTTCCTTTATATGCCTATTGAAAGTATTTTTATGTTAATTTGGTTTTACCTTAAATTGTAAATAGTAACTTGGAGAAACTAAGCAAGCACTACATTTAATTTTTTTCATTGAAGATCCCAAGTGGCTAGGTAACCTTTTACTCAATGCAGGTTAGGCCTTTACTTTTAGACAGTAGATAGCACAGGATGAGATGAGAGATGGACTTAAATGCCACCTTTTTATGGTCAGTTTTGTGCTTGACGGTGATTATCTGTCTACCTATCCACTGAACCAAAGGGAATGATCCTTCTTTTTATCAACTGTCTCTGAAAGAAAAGAATCCAGATGTTATTTCAAAGTATTACTCTCTTGATGCCATCTTTTGATGTTTGCTTTTAAATCACAAGTGCTGGTTTCCTTTTAGAGCACCCCTGATTTATAGAAATTATTCAATGAATTCTTTTATTATTCTCCTTTACCAAATGTATAATAAGAAAAGCAAAGCATTCACATGTGAATAGATAAAAATAGCAGGAAATAAGGTGGCAGCTGGTAAAGAGTAAAACTGTTTGGTATAAATCTTAATCTATTTCATCAAAACATTCTGTTCCTCAGGCAGCTGGAAAGGGCAGGATGATCCGACACACTGAAATATTTGTTTTCTCTATGTTTTATTTATTATGTTTTAGGAACTCTTTGTGAAATAAGCAAACCTTTCTCCTAACTGCTAAGTGAGAAATCCTCAAAGAGTTCACATTGCAGACCTTTCTCGTGCTGTGGAGTTACAATTAACACATTCCAATTTGCTGGAGCCAAAGGCTCAATATTCACATTTCTCTGCTCAAGAACCAGACTGCAGTCCCAGGACAGGGAAACCATGGCAGCTGTACATTGTTGTTTAGACTAGTTCAGGTAAACAGTTGTCAAAATATGTTCAGTAAGTAGAGCTATGTGATAAGCAATAGCTGTCCTTTTAACTGAAGGGGATTTTAACTGACCAAATGGAATGCCATGGATAGCAGATATTCTGTGCTGCATCTTTGGGAAGTTAAGCATGAAGAGAACAGGGAAAGGCCCCCTGTATTCTTCCAGGTAGGTAGGTAAATCTATCTTAATGAATCAGTAAATCTTTTCAGTGAATCAGAGCAAATTTAGCAAAATCAGCTGAGTCAAAATCCCACCCCCCCCACCCCGCTCACATCATGTTGTATAAATAAATCAGCATACGAGCTCACCAGTAAACTTGGCATGCTTTTCAGGAACAAAGTGAAAATCATTTCTAGTAACAGGCACTTCTCAGGACTGTAAAAATGTTGTTGCCTCCTTCCTTGGTCATGAAAGGGATTTTTGCCTAAAGGAAAAATAAAAAATAAATTTACTCATCCTTCCCTGTCTTGAGCATATGCATTTGAGCTCAAACAATATATTCTGTTTGTGATTTTCAAGAACCCTTAATGTTCATATTTTCACTACTAATACAAAAGTAGATTAAAAATATCTACTATATGGATAATATACAGTCAGAACCAACATTCATGAATAGTAGTATCAGGAAAAAAAATAGGGATTGCTTAAGTTGACGCCTTTCATCTCCAGTTAGATGATATGCCTCTAAAACTGGCTCAGAAGCATTCATATTTATATATGTACAGCAATATTTCTCCTAGAATTGCTACCCCAAAACAACAGATTAAAAATAAATAAAGCATTTGGTTTGAATTGCACATAAAATTTTTAAATCCTCACTTGTATATAGTTTTTGTAGTAGTGACTATTTAGAAGAATTCCTGCTTGTTACATGGCAGATTAAAAAACCCTACTTTGGAAAACTAAGTTTTCTGAGTCTGCTCCTTCTTTTCTCTTTCTCCATTTCACATCTTTCTCCTACTCCATTCTGACTTTTATAAAGTAAAACTCTTCAGGCAGACCAAACCTGTATTAAATATCCCAGTGCCAAAAAACTAAAAAGTAGCTTTAAGTAGTTTCATGCACTACGTACAGCCCATAGTCCCAAAAGTAATTTCATTTAGTCACCTTTTTTTACCCTTACAGTTGTTTCTTTTCTCTCTTGTGACTGTATGGAAGACTTAGGCAGACAGAGGAGAAAAAGAGCAAGTAACATTGTTGAAAGAAACAGTAAAATACAAACATAGCCCACTGAGCCTATAGCACTTTCAGATGTCTCAAGCCAGAGAGTAAAGGTAACTGTAAACCAGAGCACTCCTATGAGGTGCCAGGATTGTCATTTAAAGATCCATTTGCAGTTTTTAAGCTTGAATTTCATTACTCTTGTAAGTTTATCAGATATTTAGTGCTATTTTTAAGAGACATTAGGTTCTCATGAAAAAAAAATTTAACAGAACTCTGTTTAGGAAAGATCCTGCTGATATACTGCCTATTTAATATTTATGCTACCTTTTTCATAACAATATCTGAAGTTTTAAGTAACAAACATTTATTACATTCTTCTGTTCTTGTTTCTCATTCACCACATAAATCGTGGTCTTCCTCCCTCTGCCTTTATAGCAGCCAGCTGTGGTTTTAGAAACAAATTATTATGATTTCAAGCGACAAATAAACAGCAGAAGCAAAGGAAGTCTTGAGATACTATCCACATAAAAATCCCATTAATAAAATAACATAGGGAAAGAGAACTACAGCAAAGCTGTAAAAAAGCAGCTTTGCATCTAGACAAGATGTATTCCTTTTCTCCAAGATGCATTAATGAACTTCAAGGAAATAACCTTAATTTGAACACTATGATATCAGAACAAAATAGTTTTTGAGCAAAAGCTGTGTGCCCACATATACAGAATTATTTTAGTAATAAAAATAGATCTATATTGATTTTTTATTGTTCTCCTGAACATAGTGAAGTCAGTGCCATTCTGAAAAGTAATGGAGATTTTTTGCAAGATCTCATGTCATAGGTAGCTGAACTGTCAACTAAATTTCTAGGGGCACAAACCCGTTCTCTCCCCTCTTCACATCAATCCAACGAAAAAACTTAGTGGGAATTCCACAACTGTCACTGGAGCCTGGATCTGAGGCTATCTGAACTTCACAGACAAAAACAGGAACAAGAATGACCTTCAAGACCTAAATTGTTTTAAACCATTTCTGAGAATGCTTAAGAAAGCCCGTGTTTGTTTCTCAGACCTCATTTTAAATCTGTGCTGCTGCCAGTGATTAAAACCACCTTTTTTTCATAAACTGAATAAATTAAATTCAAAAGCACCCAGGCATTACAAACAGATGAAATCATGCCGGCCAATATTTCACTTAACAAAGTAGATTTTTTTTTTCCTCAGATGAATTTACTTAATCACTAAATACAGAACTTAAATTTAAGATAACTATTAATTCTCTTATCCTCTGATGCTTAAGAATTATAAGCAATAACTGTTACAAAATCCTTCAGGATTTCTAATCCTTCCTCAGTCCTTTTTTTTTTTTTTTTTTTTTTTTTAAGAAACGTTGCATTTCAGACGTTCCTGGGGAGTGCGACCCAAGGCAGCGTCCCAAGGCAGCGTCTCAGCCTGGGAGCTTTCTCTGTTTCTCTGCGCAGGGGAGCTGCTCCGCTCCCTCAGCCAGACAGGGCAGCCTAATACATATTCATTTACTCCTCTGATAACAAAGGCTCTCTCGCCCCTCCCGCCCCGATTTTTAAAGATACTATCTTTTATTATGCTATAGGTTTGGGCTTCTTTCCTGAAATCTTTAAAAAGACACCCCTTAATCCTTCTGCCATCAATTCTCCCTCCCAGATACCCCCGTACAATTTGCAGGGAGCCCTAACCTGCAGCCAAGGGCTGGGGTGAGACTATTACGGCCACTTTTGCTTTGTTTTCCCTCTTTTCTTTCCATTTTTTTTTTTTTCCCTGTGTGTGTCTCTTTCTAAAGTCGGCTCGGGGCCGCCGGGGCAGCGGCGGAAGGTGGCTGGTTACCGAGCAGCACCCAGGGCGCAATCAACCATCTTTACGCTGGAAAACAGCTTCGTGGTTATTAAAAAAAAAGAATAATAATTAAAAAAAAAAGGGGGGGAGGGGGAGGAAATCGGCGCGCGCATCGGCGGGCAATGGCTGTTTGTAGCAACGAGGTATTTAGCGCCGGAGGGTGAAGGGGGGTGGAGACCAGGGTGGGGTGTCCCAGGAGCTTCGGCCGCCGCAAGTCCCTGGCAGGGAGCTCCTGGCACCGGCCCCTGACGCGCTCCCGGCCCTGCGGGCGGGCCCCGCCGCCGCGCTCAGGTGCCCGCGGCTGCCGGCGCCGGGCAGGCCGGGCGCCCCTCGCCCCTGCGGCCCCGGGACGGGCGGCCGCGCTCTCCCCGCTCCCCCCGGGGTCCCGCCGCGCCCCGCGGGGCGGCCCGCACGGCCCCGCAGGCCCGGTCCCCCCGCAGCCCCGGGCACTGACCTGCGCGTCGCCCGCGGCCCCGCGGGCGCAGGAGGAGGAGGCGGGGGGGCCGCGGGGCAGCGTTCGGCGGCCGCTGCCCCGGCGTGACAGGGGCGGCGGCTCGGTGCGTCGGCCCCGGCTGGCCGCGATCGCGGCGGAGGCGCCGGAGCGGGTCCTGTCACATGATGCGGTTCCTGGAAAGTTCCTGGAAAGCAGCCTTTGTATGTAACCATCCCGGGAGGGGGGAGCGGCGGGGGCAGGATGCCCTCGCCTCGCAATCAAAGGCGAGCAGACCGCCCGCGCCGGGGAGAGGCGGGGGAGAGGAGGGTGTTGTTTCCCCAGGAGCACCATCTTCCTCCGGCAGCCTCTGTCCGCCCCGGCACAGCCTCGACGCCTCTCCGTGTCCCCTCGGCCCCCCGACGCCGCCGGGAGCCAGAACAACCTGACCGCCCCACCTCCAGGCGGCAGCGGAGGCACCAGCCCCGTCCCGCCGAGCCCGGGTGAGTCCCCTTGTCGTCGCCCCCTCCGCCCGATGCCGTGCGTCGCTTCGAGAGCCGGCGGCCCGCCGCCCCGCTCCCGGTACGGCGCTGCCGACCGCCGGGATGGAGGCTCCCCGCAGCCGGCGGCAGGCTGCTCCGGCTCTCCTCGCCTCGGCCGGGGGACGCCCGGCTGCAGCCAGCCGCCACCGCCTCGCCAGCCTTCCGTCCCCACCGGACTCCCGTGGCGGCGGCGCTTCGCGGCCAGGCGCTCCCGGAGCCTCCTTTTCACAAGGGGTCGCGCCCGGACACCGCTGGCAGGGCTGCTCCCACCTGCACCCGTCAGCCCCGCGCCCGCAGCCTCTCCCGGTGACAGGCGCACCTGCGCCCGGCCACCCGGCCGGCGGCGGGAGCTTCTGCTCGGGGGAAGGAGGGGATGGGCTTTGTCTAGGGGTTCCCGCGCTTCTGCCTACATATGTTGGGGTAGAAACCCATCAGAACACCCTACCAGTTGGCACTACAGTTTAATTTGGAAAAGTTTCTGAGCTCCGCCGCGGAACTTGTTAGGGGAGGAACCACCTCAGCATAACCCCCTCACCTGGCGGCTGCTGCGCACCCGCAGGCAGAGACTGCCCGGTTCGCAAGCACCGGCGGGGGGCTCCCGGTCTTCCCGTGAGCCCCGTCCCTCCACTCCAGCCAAACCAGATAGGTTCCCCCTCTCTGGTACTGCCCGGCTTTGTGTCGCTCCTGATGTGGCGGTCGCCGCACCCAGGAGAGAAGAGGCTCTTTTTGTCCCTCTCGTTAGCTTCGGCCAAGAGGAAAGATTCTTTTTTCCTCCCTAATATCAGCATTTAATGGAGCGGGAAAAGCATATTTCCTGCCCCGCGCTAATTATAGCGCGTCCTCCACCGCGCTGCCCCTTCCGCTCCCAAGCGGCCGGCGAGCCCCCGGAGCCGGCGCTGCCGGCGCACTCGCTCCGCAGCTTCTCGGGTACTCCGCTGCCCGAGAGCAGGTCTCCCATCCCGGGAGCATGGCCCACGCCGGGCTTCCGTTCCCGTTCCTACAGGTACGACTTCGCGGATGACCTTACTGGAAGGCTTCCGTACGCACCGCAGCGTGGAACCCGGGCAGCGCCGGGGACCACTGGGACCACTGCCCCACTGATTACCCCTCCTCTCCCATACCTTTACGTGCCCGGCTCTCCCCCACGACCTCGTCCCTCCCCAAAAGTCCCAGAGCTGCCGGCCGGGCTCGCCTGCCCCAGCCGGGGGAGCGGGGCATCAGCGGGTTCGCCTTTGCGACAAAGCGAGACCACCGTCTCGGGACGCCGCCTCCGCCGAGTCCCCGGCGGAGAAGAGCCGAGGACAGGCTGGGCGGCGGGGGGAGGAGATGTCCCTCCCCCGCTCCGCCGGGAGGTGATCTCTCGCCTCGGGTCCCTCCTCTGGATGCTGGGAAGTTCCGAAGCGGGATCGCCAGAAACACGCTCTGCGTCGGGAGCTCCTCTCGCGGGGCTCGCCGCTAACCGCGCTCTCTCTCCGCTCGCAGGCGGCGCCCGGGCCGGGGGCCGGGACCATGCACCCAGCGCGGCGCTGAGCCCCGCGGCGGCGAAGCGGAGCTCTCTCCTGCCGGCAGCCCCCGACCTGCGGGCGAGCGGGGCCGCGCCCGCCGCCGCCGCCCATGACCCTGCGCTCCGCCGAGTCCCTGGAGAGCGCGGAGAGCTCCGGGGAGCGCTGGGGGTACCCCGGGGCGGCGGCGCCCGTTGCCGAGGAGTGCCGTGAGGCGGAGCACCTGGCCGCGGCTATGGAGGAGCTGCGGCGGGCAGGTAAGCCCGGGCGGCCGGGAAGAGGAAAGCGCCCGGGGCGGTGGCGCTGTCCAGGGGGAGGCAGAGCGGCGCGGCGGGGATCCCCCCCGGGGCGAGGGGAACCGGGCGGCGGTGAGACGCCTGGTCATCGCCGCCCGGCGCTGCGAGGTCGCGTTCCCGCGGCGGAGAGGGGCGGCGACGACTCCGACCTTACGCGGACTGCGGCGGCCGAAGCGAAAGCGCCGGCAGCGCCGCGCCCCGGCGGCAGCCCGGGATCTGCGGCCGGGCGAGGGCCGGGCGCTGCCGCCGGCCGGGGCGGCCGCATCCCCTCGGCCCCGCGTACCTGCGCTCCCCTCGCCGGCGTGGCGGCGGCTCGCCCGGCCCCGCAGGACGCGGGGCTCGCTTGCGGGAGGAGGGAAGAGCTTTTTGTCTTCATCGCAGCCGCGCCAGGACCGCTGCTACCTCGCCGAAGTTGTTTTCTTATCCCTTAGCTTTCGATCGCTTGCGAAAGCTCATTTCAGCAGCAGCCTGCTCAGAGTTCCCCAAAGCGGGCGTTCTGCGGGCTGCCAGCCTGTGCCTTGCGGGCGCGGCGCGGGCCCCGGCGGCAGAGCAGCGGGGAGCCGCGGGACGCGTCCCTGCTGCTTCAGGGGCGGCCCGCCGGGTCGGCGGCTCCGGTGTCGGCCCCGCAGGACGCTGCGGGAAAGTTTGTGCATGTGTATGCATACATAGGTAAATAAAAAGTGACCTGGAAAGCTCTGTCAAAACGGGATGCGTTGTAAAACAAATGAATTTAAATAGCAAATAAAAATTTACTGTGCCTGCAGGACTTGAGCTTTCAAACAACAAAAGAAATGGGTGACTAGAAGTATATCAGCTAGAGAGCAGCTTTTAAAACAAACAGGAATAAACAAATCCCTTCTTTTTCTCATCTTTTAACAGGATGGTACTGGGGCAACATGACTGTTGCTGAAGCCAAGGAAAGGTTACAGGATGCCCCTGAAGGGACCTTTTTGGTTAGGGATAGTTCGCACTCAGAGTATCTACTGACTATATCAGTAAAAACGTCAGCGGGACCGACCAATCTACGTATAGAATATCAAGATGGCAAGTTTAGACTGGACTCTATCACTTGTGTCAGATCTAGACTTAAACAGTTCAACAGCGTTGTGCATTTGATTGAGTACTATGTTCTCATGTGCAAGGATAGAACTGAAACACCTTCAAATGGAACAGTTCACCTTTACTTGAGCAAACCCCTCTATACATCTGCTCCATCTCTGCAACACCGCTGCAGAATAGCTATAAACAAGAGCACAAATCAGATCTGGGAGCTGCCATTACCAACAAGGCTAAAAGAGTACTTGAAAGAGTATCAATACCAGGTATAAATATATTTTCTAAATGCCTCTAACACAGAGTAACTTTTGAATGCAATTCTTAAAATTGGCTAAAGAACTGAGTAACCAGTTGTACAACTCAGCATGGAATTCACTATCAAAACAGTGGCAGTTCTGGGGGAAAGGTTTTTATTTCAGATGCTACAAAGGGACACTTTATGTAAAATAATCCCAGTTTGCATCCTTGGGGGTTCAACAAGGTGGCTGCTATTCTTGCAAGGAGAGAGAAGCGAGGAATCTGTCCAGATTGTGTTGCTTTGTCAATAAAATGCTGCACTAACTATCAAATGCTTACTGAAGCAGTGGGACCGGGAGAGACTTCATAAGTGGTCAGAGACATATGAGAGTTTACAAGTATCTCAGTTGTCTGATTCTAAGATTAATTTGGTGCTGGTGTTCATATAATCCTAAAAGCTTAACTAGATCACACACTGTGATAATCTTGCTTAAGTTATGCAACTAATCAAATCCAGTCAGAAAAATGATCATGTATTCAGTTTTTATTGAACTACTCTCCTGCTTTTCTGCAAGCAAAGGAGTACTGTAAGTAATCAGTCTAGAACATTGTTTTTCAAAGATCTCTGAAAGCTGACCTTAAGAAGAAATGCCACATCTTTCACAGGAACCCAGTATATTGCTGATTATACCAGACTGGTATCCCAGAATCCTTAATGTGTTAACATCTTCACAGTGGTGATGTATCCATGCTATTACTATTAAGCCTCTTTTGCTTGAGGCTTTAGAACTATATGCTTCAGACTTGCAGTTCCAATGTCAAAACATGGGTATCAGCAGTTACATGTGTCTTCTACAGTGTAGAATGTTTTCTTCAGCCTGTTTCCCAAAATATGGGGAAATATGATGTGGATTTTTTTTTTATAAAGAGGTTGGTTTTCCTTTTTCTTCTTTTTTTAAATTTTCTTTTTGTTTCTTTATTTTATTTTATTTTATTTTATTTTATTTTATTTTATTTTATTTTATTTTATTTTTTAACTTCCAATTCACCATTGTAGCTATCAGATGATTACTCAATAAAGTAAATCAAAGTGCACAACAATCTCCCAATCTTTTTATGTATGGATTTGCTACCATTCAGGAAAGAGTGCTCTTATATAGGAACTTATATAAGTTCCCAGCTAATATTCAGATAGATGCACATGTATCAGTGAGGATGAATAACCCTGCTTTGCCTTTGTGGTGCTGCTCAAAAGTATAGCTGAATTACATTCAGATTAGTGGCTTAGAGGCTGCCTGCTGAATTCCTGTAGTTGGGTATTAGCACAGGACATTGCTTTTTCTGTTTCAGTAGTCTTCCAAACAAGAAGAGGGGACTAAGACCCTCAGTACCCATTCTTCAGCCCAAAGGTAAAGTATTTAATAGAAGAAACACACAGGATGAGAAAAATAGGAAAGCAGTAAGAGAAAAACAAGGATATAGCCTCACCCTTAGTCAACAAATTAGAAGTTTTAATTCTTTCCCAAGCTTATTTGTTGATTAAAGCCAAGACCTGTGCTTGAACAAGGAGGGTTGTCAAGACTTGCTGTAATCTAGCTTTGCCCAGGCTGAAATAGAAACAACATAAAATAATCTTGTTTTCCTTGTGACTTAACTGCTCTGTTGCACTTTCAAGATGTTCTGTCCCTTCTCATAAACTCTGGGGCCCTGACCAGCTTATTTGTTGCATCTAAACTCCCAGTGTTACACACTCAGTTCTGTCTGTCTGTAACATGCTGGCAGAAATGAGTAGCAGAGCCATTGAGAAATAGAAGGCACCAAGAACATGAGGCAGAGTGGATGGTTCCTTGATATGACATATACTTGATATGTTCTTGTTCTTTCTGTGGAAAAGGTGGGTTTCTCCTCCTCCATGGCTCAAATTTTCTGTCCCCATTTTAAACTCAAGCTTTAGTATAGAAATGGGAGGAATTTTTTTCTGAAAAACAAATCAAAATATTTTGTTACGTAAAATTTTCCCCATGTCTTGCCAAGATGTATTTGGAAGTTTTTCACATTATATGGTAGCCACCTTTTGGTTGCCATGCCCAAAGAGCTCTTGTATCTGGGTATGTGTCGTAACTACATGGTTCTTGTCATCAGTCTTGCTAAGATCTGCCACCCTCAGGCTGAGGAGCTTTTCCTGTGAGCAGAGCCTGTCAAAAAACTGTGTTCCTGGGAACACTTTTCATTCTGATGAATCTTTTCTTACAGTTCTTGCCTAGCTTTACCCTGTGGTGAGAGAACTGCTATAGGGAATAACTTCCATCACAGTGACAAACCCTCTAATCTGCTGCTGTGTTAAGATTCTACTACTCTGCCTTTTCAGCCAGGGGGATACACTTGGGGTCTCAATGGTAAACACATTCTACTGAGGACCTTTAAAATAAATCCCTGGGGGTTTCACATCATGAATACCAGTGCTGGAGCAAGCAGACTGAGAAGATAAGAGCTTTGGGATGTAATGAGGCTGCTATGTTGCAAATGTAAGAAATGATTTGTGGCTTGCTAGTGGCAGACTGTGTGAGCAGTCACAGGCCAAGTGTAGCCCACAGCAGAGCCAAGCTCTGGGGAACAAGAAGGGGCAGGTGCAGGGAAGTTTGCTGGGTTTTTAAATAACAGTTCTCCAAAGCACAAGGGCAAATGGCAGGCTGAGAACAAGGAGTGCTGGCAAAGTGAAAGGTGGCGATTCTTGTGACTAATCAAGGTACTGTGATGTGGAATCAAGTCACCAAACATTGAGCATACTGACCTAGACTGTATCATTTGCATCAGTTCCTGTGAGGAAAAGTAGGCTCTGTAACTACAGTGTGTGCTCAGAGCTGTGAACAATATTTTAAACAGACTGGAGGGGGAACTAGTCCTCTTTGTATGAAAGCACAGTTCTTGTCCTCATTAGGATGCCAGTCCTAGGGTTGATGCATTGCACTAGTAAAACTAAACCACAGTTTAGCTTGCACAAAGCTTGGCTTCTTTCTAATGCAGCACAGAGGAATTACTTGTTCTGGTACAAAAAATCTGATGATAGAACATGATTAGATTTCAGCAGTACAAAGATCTTGCATGAAGACTTTGTGAGTTTTCAGACATAAAATTTTCAGACATGTTCAAACATTTAAAAAATTTTTCAGTGCCTTTTTTTTCATTACCCTATGGATGTTGTAGCTTGTTTGCAGCACTAGCTTTTAAATTGTGGGCCTTTCAGATTATAAAAATTACTTTTAACTGATATATATCATCTTGAATTGCTAGTACAGAGTGTGCAGCAAAGCCAGTTTCACAGGTTCAATGCCCATGAGTCAAATCATGATAAGGACTTTAATCCTAACCCTTTTTTCACCCCATGTATTGATTTGGTTTTTTTTTTTTGAGTCTTGGAGTTTCAGATTTTCCAGTTTATACCTGGAATGTTAGAAAACCTCTTCACTTTACTTAAAGGAAATCTGAGAATCCTACAATCCTAAAAGGTGATGCTTAAAAAAAAACAACCAAAATAAACAAAATTGCAATATGAATGATGAAAATTGAATTGGTGATAGTATTTAGTTTAGCACTAAACCTAGCAGAAGTGTAAACTAGAGTAGTATTTTAATTGTGTGGGTATCTTCCTGCTGGTAGTATCACTTGAGATAGAAAACGGTTTGAGTACAAGATGAATGGGTAGAGTGGGAATGTAACCAAGCAGCTGTGCTCATTGCATTAGAAGTAATCTTATTTTATTCTGATCTTGTCATTCTTGTCCTAATTATATTTTATGTAACCACATTCTAGATAAACAGTACAAAATTATTAGCAAGAAGGAAAAATTGTTCACCAGAATATGGAGGGCAAAGGGGTTTTTTTATATCTTACACAATGAGGAATTTACTCCTATAATGAGACTAAGTCTCATCACCTTGAGAAAATAGAATCTACATCTGACAGGGAGGACAGAGTTCTGTAGTTGTGTGGATTTGGTACCTTAGCCAACTCTCATGTTTTAGCAAAATGTCCCTGCAGGTAAATTACCTCGTTAAAGATTGTTTAAAAAACTTTATTTATTTATATGCTCTTTTCAATAGCTTTTTCTTGTATTCCTGATAACGATCCTATTGATTTTTCCTTCAGCTATAATCTTAGGCTCTAGTGGAAAGTAAGTCAAATGATATCAGGGCTTTGCTCTCCTTAAGCCAAAACACATAATGGAAATAGGAAGAGATATCTTTAGACATTGGTATCATGTCTAAGAGTCATTTAAAATAAAGTAAAATAAAATTTCTGCCAACTTTGCAGTCATTAAAATAATTTTAAGTATCATATTTACTGTTAGAGGAAACAATGGCTTGAGGGGTTCTAAAAACTGTATTGCTAATTCTCAATAACAGTAAAAAAACTTTGTTGAAAGGAGAAATTTTATTTTAAAAATATAGAAATTAATGAAACTTTTACTATCTAAACCAAAGGATTTCTAAATAGAATAACAGAAGTTAGTTGAAAGGTCTGAGCTGGTTAGTTCTGTATACACAAAGGAAGTGGGGATGACAAGCTGCTTTGGTATCTCAGCCTAGCTCCTGAAAAGCACTTCTCTATTAGCATTAGATTCAGCAGGTCTCAGTATTTTGCTAAGCCATTAGCATGACTGAAAATGCCTGGAAAGAACATTCCACTGACACATAACTGGTCTGTTTACAACAACATGGCCATTTGCCACAGTATTGCTAAAATTGGGTCGTTTCTACAACAGGCTGAATATCAGTCAAAGGAAGGGAGAGGCAGACTTGGTTCAGGTGCTGACCATCACTGGTCCTTATCTCCTGTCTTAGAGAGCACAAGCTAGGTGAAACACAGCTGCCAGGAACAAGATGAGAAAATATTCTGCTTTCTGAGGATTACTTTGTCTGGCTTTCATGTCTGAGAAGGGACTGAAGGGAAAGGACATGGAAAAGCCAGCAGCTCCTGTGAGAGGTGGCACTTCTCACAAGGTGTATCAAATAACTAACCACCTGGATGAGTACAATGCTGAAAGGTGTACTAGTAGAGATTAAAGGTCCTGGGGAATAACTAGTATCAGTACAGCTTGAATCCACACATAGACAAAGTCTGGCTAGATTGCTCAATTTTGAGAAAAAAAAAATTAGCTTATGGCAAACTCAGTATGTCCTGGTGCCAGGGTTACCAAGCAGGAGAGGGATTAACTGTGTTGATTGATCAGGTTATCTGCAGGGCTTTAAATTAGCCAGTGCCTCTGAGAAAGTCTATAGAAATACAAAAATATATCACCATAATTATGCTGATTAAGCTGCCTGATAGTTGT